TGTGTGTGTGTGTGTGTGTGTGTGTGTGTGTGTGCCTACACACGTGTGTGTCTCCCTTAGAAGCACACACACCCCTATGAATAGCAGATTAAAAGCTGCTGAAGATAAAATCTGCAGTCTCAAACGTTCTGATCTGCTACCTGCCTCCAGAATGATGACCAATCCCTTTTATTTTTAAAACTGCTACAGATAATCTAGGACTGATATCTAACTGCTAACTGTTTAAGCATGTGCGGGGCCGCTGCAGGTCTCCTGTGACGGTCTTTTGCCAGCGTCTCATTTCATGCGGCAGGCCTGGGGGGGGGGACATTGGGTGGTGTTTCCTATTTAGGGTGGATCTTCCATAAAGATGCGAACTGCAGGGGTCAGAAAATGTATTTCAGTCTCATTGTTTATAAGGGGTTTATAGTGAGGTACTGCTCAGAAGGATGGTGCCCCCTATCTTCATAAAGGCCTATATACCCCCCATGTCTGGTCTGTGTCCCATACACACAAGTCCCTATGTTAAAAACGCCTGCCGACTGGCTTATTCGTCAGCACGCAGTTGGCGGGTGTGGGACCATACGACCTTCACCCTGTGGGAGCGCAATGTTAAGTCAGGCAGTTTTAACCGCATCGAGGGGAACGACCTCCGTCAACACGGTTCAGTGGGGGGGGTGGGCCCCTTGTCCTTCGACCAATCAGATGGACGCAGCCTGACAGGGTGACTGATGAGCTCTTAAAGTGTTGCTTGTTTCTTATCACTGGTGATGGTAATAAAAGGGAGAATGAGACCCCCCCCCCTCCCCCACACCTGATGAAATGCAGCACCCCCCACACCCTGCTCGCCTCTGATATTTGCTGCAGTGGCCGCAAATGTGAATTCAATTTGTAAGCTGTGCAAGAATTGAGTCCAGTTCAGAACTTGCTCTCGTTAGTTCGCTCGTAGTTTGACCTTAAATTGACCGTGTAGCCCAGTCAGGTGTGGAGATTAACAGCGCATTGTCATGCTGAAAATTTAATGCCTCCTCCTGCCCACCCCCCCGTCCCCATTGTCTTTTGAAATAGATCAGCTCCCAGTCTCGCTTCATTTGATTAGTTATATTGAACAAAAGTGGTAAAGAGGCAGAGAGCAGCTTCACGGTTTGTGTCCTGAAACTAAGTGCAGTGAATGGCAGGAATTGTGTGTGTGTGTGTGTGTGTGTGTGTGTGTGTGTGTGTGTGTGTGTGTGTGTGTGTGTGTGTGTGTGTGTGTGTGTGTGTGTCAACTATATTATATATATGTATGCTTGATCTAGAATGGAGATTGCGAGCCAGGCCTTAATGTCCAACATCAGTGTCTGACCTCACAAATACTCTTACGAATGAATGGGTAAAAATTCCCACAAACACACTCCAAAATCTTATGGAAAGCCTCCCCCGGAGAATGGCATGTTACAGCTGCAAGGGGGGGGCGACTTCATATTGATGTCTATGGATTTAGAATGCAATGTCATAAAAGTTCCAGTACGTGTAATGGCCAGAGGTCCCAATACTTTTGTCCGTACAGTGTGGGTGTGTGTATGTCTGTGTATGTGCATATGTATACATACATACACTTTGAATTATGTGCAAGCCTTACAATGGTGCTTCCAAATCTGTAGCTCTAGAATATTCTAGTGTGTAAAAGTCATATTGAGTCGTGTTACAGGTTTACCCTTAAGAATTTTTTTTAAACCTGAGAGGTGTTTATTTTAGGCAAGAACAATCTGCTAATGTCACATGAGGGATCTCCAGTGTTTGATTACTGTTTTTTTTTTCTCTCCCAACAGGAAAAGAACAAGGATAAAGACAAAAGGTTTCGCCCCCTCTACGACATCCCCTACATGTTTGAAGCCCGCGAGTTCATGCGCAAGAAGCTGATTGGCAAGAAGGTACAGAGTGCCCATCCGCCGCGGGCTTCCGGACACCGGCCACCAGGGGGCGACGGGAAGCGTCCTCTGTCGTCTTCCGCTGCGAGGAATTAACTGCGAAGTTTAGGGGGGATAAAATAAATCTGCAAATCTGCTTTTAATGGATTTGTTCTGCTAACAGGGATACCCTCAGCAGAAGCTCATTAATGGAAGTAATTGGGTTTCCGTCGTTAATGTTCGTGTGTCCTAGCAGTAAATTAAAATGCGATTGTTTCTCCTTGAGTGGGACACCATCTCCCCCCCCCCCCCCCCCATATGTAGCCCAGACGTCTGGGTCCTTTTTCTGTGGGTCTCCTGTGCCTTTGTATCAGTTTATCCCTGGGTGTGATGTCACTCCTCCTTACTTATAACGCCTCTCACTTATGCAAGGCTTAATAATAAACGTTACGGCCGTGTGACATTTCCCTGCCGTATTTCCTCGATTTAGTGAGCCACGCTCCGCTTGTCCGTAGGTTTGGGAATGATCTGGGAAAAGTGTTGCAGCATGTTGCCCCCCTTTCCCAAGGACAGAGCTGGGATTTCTTTCTGAGGATAAAGCAGGAATTTCCTTTGCTCGCTGGGTATCGGAGAGTCCTTCCAGGGGTTTTTGTGGAGGGGTGGGGGGCGGTGTTGAGCTTTCTCGAGTGGGAAGAAAACTTGGATGGAGTGGTGGGGGGCATATCAGGGTCTGTCCCCCAAGGTCGTACTGAGTTCACTTTGGGTGCCTGAGTTGGGATCCCCCCCCCCCCACTCATATCTTCAACTGTGTGATTTGAAGGTACCTGACATACCCGTCATATTGAGTAAGACCAATCTTTGCTTGTCACTCTCTGGACAGTCACTGTCCAAAAGGACATTGTCTGCTATATTTAAGACCCTTTGCAGGCTGAATGTATCTAATTGAGTCATATGTTGTAAAATAGAGTTCAGTAGCTTTTAAGGTTGTCATAGATTTTAGACTTCAGGTTTGATTATTTTAAGAAATTGTGCCCTTTATGGGTCAGTTTGAGTGCCTGGGGAGGGAGAGGGAAGTGCCTGCTCCCTATTTACGAAGGCAGGTTCATCTCTGGATCGCTGCTTCGCTGAAGTACAATGAAATTTCAAAGCACGATCTTCTCGGAAATTGAGGTCAGACGGACACTTCGTGCTGCCAGCGTCACGCCTTAATGACCTCTGAACGCTCGTCCTCGCCCGTGATGCCGTGACCATATCTGCCATGACAGCCTGTGGAAATAGATGTGAATTTAGTCTTCGGGGCATGTTTTTTCCATTTTTTTGAAAATGTTTTGTCTGGTTCAAGCCAAAAAGGCCGGTTTACTTAAACTTCGTCTCATGCAACAACCGACGTACAATGTTGTCCTTTGTTATACACGCACTTCCTCCCTTTCCACTCATGTTTTTGATGAATGGAGGGCTGATATTAAACGCCGAGGGTGCTGCATCCCAAATCGGCTGGACCTGTTGCTTCTCTGCTCTCGTGTGGGGATTGCCGGTGAATCTGGGAATGAGAGGTTGGCGTTCCGGCTCTGGGTAATTAGGCGATGCCTCACGAAGCAGCCTTTTCCTTTGAGCGATCAGAATTTCGTTTGCCGGCGCACAGGCTGCCCCAAGATTTGACTAACTTTGTAAGTCGGCCTTCTGTTACATGCTCCCCGGCTTGGAGAGTCGAATGAAAATATCATATTAATCCACTTATCAGGCAAGAGCACATTCTCCTAATCCGCAGCTCTGTGCGCGACTGTCGCTGACGCCGGTGGTAGGTCTTGCTCAGGCGGGGCCCAAGGCAATGCCTCTTTCTTTTTTATTTCATTTTCCTGTCGTGATCACACCCCCCTCCAGAGTTTTGACGTCGAGTACGTGACCAGAGACCAAGCCGGGGAAATTCAAAAACCTTCCGATTGTCATGCGCTCAGATAAAGCCGCTTTTTGTCGGTCAGTTTGAGTTTCCTGTCTGGAATTAACCAAAAAGGAAGAATGTTGTGTTCCCGTTCTTTATATATATATATATATATAAATATATATCTTTACTTTTTGCTATCTCCTAAAGAGAACTCTTGTGAAGCTGTAGCTCATGTCATGAGAGGCTCCCTGTCAGCTTGGCTGGTTGGGTTTGGCGGCCGTTTGATATGTGGGAATGTTTCCTGGTATCTCGCCTGTTTGAGGCATCTCACGATTTGCTCGTTCGCCGTCACTTCTCCTCTTGGCACCTTGTCAACATGGCAACTGGACGTGAAATTTCCGGAGTGCTATCGGGCACCGGTTCTGCCATGCATGTCGTTCGGCACGTCCAGACGTTCCCCAGACTCCAGTCAACTGCGAAGACCGTCGTTTATCTCGTCTTCGGTCTGGCAAGGGCTCTGGTGACAGGATGAAGCCGATTTTCTGTTTTCCGCGGCACTCCTCCAGACAGATGTTCCCGTCTCTTTTGTGGCGTCTGGTCAGGCGAGGCGGAGACCTGTCGGTGAAAAATGATTGGCTCCGTGTGCACCCCCTGCCAGAGGCACGGCCTATACGAGAATTGCGATTCTGTGTCTTTGGCTGTACACCGTAACGGATGGCCGTTGTTGGGCTGATAAGAGTGTACTCAGCCCGAGTCCTCATCGGTATTGGCAGTTTGTGCAGAATCATTGCCTGCTCTTATTGCTTTGTGCCTAATATCGGAATATTCCTGGTCCGGAGGTTTTATTTTTTATTTTTTTTATTTTCTGGTCTCTCAGCCTATTCCTCATTTGTAAATATGCAAATGCCGGTGGCATATAAAGGCTGAGGTAATTAATTGCCTGTGACATCAAACAGTCTTTCGATTCTCGGGCATTTTACTGCCTGACGTCAATACGTAGCTTCTAGCCTTCGCCATTAGCCTAATTACGCCCCGACTCTTTGTAGTTATTTTCGTGTGTGGATTCGCCGAGCACCTAATGCCGGGTCCCGTCACTCTCATCTAATAGCTCGGGGCTAGACGATCGATGTGTAGCCGTCGGGCTGAAGTATTTAATTTTGTTTAAGCGTGTGTTTGTAGATTGAATTTGACTATGTGGTTTGCGCGTGCCGCTTGCCCGACTAGCTATGGGTGGGATTTTGACGGTTTGAAACTCTTGTGTTTCTGAGCACCGCCAATCCTGGCGTTCCCCATCGCCTTGACTCATGATCTCATGCCGTTTAAGTGAAAGGAATCGATTGGCCGTGATCTTTTCTCTGCCCGCGGCTTGGTCATCCACAAACAGAGATGCAGCGGGAGAGGAGGAGTTGGGGTGGTCGTTGGGGTGGGTCGGATGGGTAGCATGGCAACGAGTAGCATCGCCGAGTCATTAAACTGTCTTGGTGTTGCCGTGTTTTGAGCAAGTCTCCTCCTTGCGTCATTCTAAGTGGCTTGGTGCTGACAGCTCACCTGTTTCGAATAGGACTGGGCACTTAAAATTTGAGCCAGTTTCTGGAAATTACTTAATGCCAGTTTTCACGTGGCTAGAAAATGCCTTCAGATCCAGGCTTGGCTTTCTGTGCATTGCGCATGTTTACTGGTTTTCTTGTGTGGTTAAGGCGAAAGGTACGGTTTGAGTGTTTACGTAACAGGTGCTGTCGTACCTGCACTTGTCAAATTATCTGTGTGCTTAGCTTCCAGACATGGGAGTTTGTCTGAGTCGTAAGAGAGGTCTTTTATTTACCTACAAAATGAATTATTTGCAGCGTATCCCATGATGCACTCCGGCTTAGTTCTCTGTTGTTCGAGCGGCGTGATGCTTGTTTTTACTTGCTAGTGGTTCCGTCATCTTGGTACCTCTTTCAGTTTTTGTGACAGGGAAATTTATTTGAATTATGCAGAATTGCTGAAGGGAAATGTTCAGTTATTTCTCTGCAGATATAGTTTTATTTTGAGTTTTAGATGAGTGCTTCTCTCTAAACTGCTATTTCCGTGAGATATTGAAATACCCCCCCACACCCATGAAAGGGCTTATTGGATGTGAACTTTTTGCTAAAATTCTGCTTTTTTGTACATTTCTTGTTGTCTGGACAGCTGTAATGAAGTAAGACATTTCTTTTCCCTGCCTGACTAGTTCAGTTTCATAGGTTTATTTGCCCTGATTTATTATGTCCATTATTTCCTGTTTCTCGCATTCCTGGCTTGTAGCAGCCCCCAGATAACACCCCCCCCCCCCCCCCACTTCCTCTCTCAGGTCAACGTCACCGTGGACTACATCAGGGCGGCCACTGCGGCCACGGACTTGGGCACATCTTCCATTCCCGCCTTCCCAGAGCGCACCTGTGCCACGGTCACCATCGGGGGCATGTGAGTATCCGCCATGTTGCCGTACTGCAACCTCGGGGCTCCTCGGGCGTCCTTGGGCCTCCTCGGGCCTCCTCGGGGCTCTGGCAGTTTCTGACCCCGTCCCCAGCAGAAGTCCAGGTGCCGTCATCATCCAATTTGATATTTTATTATAATTACCACTGTTAGCATTTTAACATTTACCATTCATTCCTCTTCAGGTAGAAATGACTTTTTCTGAAGTAGCTAAAAGGTTTTTAAAAATAGAATTAACCACAGTACCCATCCCCCCCCCCCCCCCCCCCCCCCCCCCAACACACACATTTTGTGCTTCTTTCTCCCTCCCATGTGGGAAGGGCCTCCTCCCACTCTCTCCCCCATTTTTGGTCGTCTTGCTGAATGGCCCTTAATCACCACGTTGGCTGCCCTCTGCCATTATAACGAACCGTGTTGGCTTTTATGGCAGGTCAGGATAGTCTTGGAGTCCTCGTCAATCTGGCCCAGTTTATTAAAGCCGCCGTCCTTCGCCGCCGTGCTCCAAGGGCTCTGCATGCTTTTGCCAGTACCCAGCTGCCCTCCTCACGCGGTCAAAGCTGCAAACATACAGGCGTGTCTTATTTAATGTCCAAATGCGCACCGACATCGCTAACTGAGGCAGCAGGGCGCGCACGCGGTGGTAATTCTGGTAAAATATGTTGTGGTAAGCCTCACGCCCCCGGCGTACTGCACATTGATTTTAGGGTAAATGTGATTTACCGTGTTTTTGCCCCGAGTGTGTGGGTCAGCCGATGCGCTTGCATCTCTCCGTTAATAAAGAACACGTTTAGTGCGCCGAGTGGTAAGAATATACGACCATGTGATTGGTCGGTAAGAATGTGCGAGCCCCTCGGAACCACAGCCCCTGAGTGAGGTCATCACTGGCTGTGGCACTTTGTATAACCCCGTACCTGGGCTGGAGCATACTAGTCCCCCTAGGCTGTATCACATGAAGGTGTCTGTCCTGTCAATAACAGCACTCCGCAGTAATAACTGACCCTTTCAGTTTACTGCTGTAAGGGGCTGTCATGGTTATGACAGAGTAAACGGGAGGCTGGCCTTCTCTATTGGCCCTCTGGCCCCCGCTTGTTGCCTGGCAACCAAATCCCCCCCCCCCAAAATGTAATTCCAAATTGCCCTCTTTGAGCCTTCTTAAATATGCCCCCAAATATGTTGGAACATCACGGTCTGGAAGCCCCCCCCCGGTGTAGCCTGTCATTACAGGACCCCAAACAGACAGGCAAATCGGTTTTCCCTGAACTCTACTGGCCCTGTCCACCTGTCTTTGGGGGGGGGGCGTACCAGGTTGTGGTCCATGCCCTCTCCTGGATGCATGACAGGCGTCAGCCCATTGCGGCCCAGCAGGGGGCGCAGCTGTGCACGCCGGCTGACGGGGGCGGTGGCTGTGTGTTGAATCCCACGTTCTTATCCGCCGACTTTTAGGAAATGTCAACCTTTATCTGCTGCTTATTACAAAGGCTGTGTTTATCTCCTCAGTACCCGGGATGGGAATGCGGTGCCCGTCTCACTCAGGGGGGGGGGGGGCAGGCTGTGGGGGTCGCCTGATGTGTGAAAAGCTTTTGTGGGCCTTTGAGGCAGCCTGCTCATTATGAGGCTCCGTTTAATGTCGCGTTTGCGCTTCCTGACAGTCACCCCCGATCCCCGCTAACGGGAGTATTAACATGCAGTGGCTTTGCTTTTTGCCGTTGAGCTTTTCCACATCATGCTAATTGTATGTATTTCTGTGTGCTTTTTTTTCCCCTGCTCCCCGCAGTAACATCGCCGAGGCCCTGGTCAGCAAAGGCCTGGCCACAGTCATCCGGTACCGGCAAGACGACGACCAGAGGTCCTCGCACTACGACGAGCTTCTCGCTGCCGAGGCCAGGTCAGCGTTGTCCTGCTGCAGCCGCCGTCTCCGCCTTAGCGCTGTAGCTGCTGATGGCTCTCCTCCCCCGAGCCTCCGCTGCCGCTTCCCCATCCAGAATTCTGTACTGGCGTCTTGAAATGGGATGATCTCACCTCACCCAGGGTCCATCAGACTCATTCCTTTACAGCTTTATAATTAGCTTGATGGCTAAATGCTAATCTTCCCGTAGCTCTGAGACGTTGCGTCTGGCAGAGCGGGATGTTAGTGGTACCATCACTTTTCTAAATCTCCCCCAGGCTCCCCTTAAATCTTCAGGAGGCCAGACTGCACCTTGCATCTCATTTCAGCGTCATACATGATAGTTGCCACACGAATTCCATTGTATGTTTTTACAATCACTATAAAGGTGTTTTATGTCTTATGTCCTGCTGTCAAGGTCCCCTGGACTGGATTTACTGCACTGCTTGTGCGGTTAGAGTATGTGCTATGTGGAACTCAGGAGCATGTGGCTAAGCGTTAAGATGGCTCTCTCCTGTCCCCTCGCTCTGTGCTGAGACTTCCCGGTGCATTGTGGGAAGTCATCCTCATTCCACTTCGCGTGGCGATGGAATTGAGAAAGCAGGGCGCGATAAAGGGTGGTTTTGAAAGCGGCGGATAATGGCAGTATCTTGAGTCCTGATTTGGGTGACGGGGTTCTGTGGAGAGTACAGCGTGTAGCTTATTATAATCGAATCTCAGTGTGTGTGATCCGCACCCTGGTCATGTGACCCGCAGCCGGCGCGTTGGGCTTTGCTGTCCTTTCCGGTCACTGGGACGGAGAGGGGACCCGGGGCCCCTCCGGGGGATGGGACAGGCGGCGGCTCGCCTCATTAATTTCAGGAGAATGTAGGGCAGGGACGCGGATGGGGCCCCGGGCTTGGACTGCACTTTCCTGGCTGGGCTCAGATCAATTTGTTTTCATGACCATGCGGGTTTGGTGTATCGACTGCTGCCGTCGGTAAGGGGGCTGCCGTTCGCTTTCATGCCGTGGCCTGGTTTGTTGTTTACCTCTGAGTGCGATGTGCTCTGGCCTTTTTAACATGGCCTGTTAAATTAGCCCTCATTATACACACAGCCCTCATTGTACGCTGTCCGTTTAGCTGAGAGAAGCAAAAAAAACGCCTCCTTCCCCCTATAGCACAATGTGACAGAACTGAAGCGGTTTCAATATCGAGCATCCTGATTGGTCCAAGTTAGTGTTGCTCTCCGCTTTATTCCAGTGATGAGCTGACATGTTTGTATGTTTGTTTATTAAATTGTAGGGCCATAAAGAATGCTAAGGGCCTGCACAGCAAAAAGGAGCTTCCCATCCACAGAGTGGCTGATATTTCTGGGGTGAGTACGCCTGCCGACTCGGGGTGGGGTCCCTTCACGAAGAAGCCGGTCAGTCCTCTCGCGTGTCCTTTCATTGTCCGCGTGACAGGATTACAAACGGCAGGTGGCCAAAGTCATTTCGACGCCACCCGAGTCGTTTGAGGACTCTGGGCCCCAGGAGATTTGGCTTTGCCACATCTGCAACACCCCCCTCTGCTTTGTGTGCTTGGGTTGCAATTTAGGACTACATTAAAAAAATTTAAAAAAAAGCCCTTAGCTAAGACCCGTCTCCTTCGCGCTCAGACTCTTCCCCCGGCACTGCGCTGCATCCTAATTTTATCCGGGACGCGTCTCAAGGAAACATGAAATGTATTACAGCGTTTGTCAGCGAGGAACGCGAGTGTTTACGGGCGCATTCAGCCCTGCCGCGCCTCTGTCCTGGAAAAGCAGGGCTGCCTCGGAAATCTGCGCCGATTCCGAGTGAAATGAGCGGGATAGAATTCCAGACAGTGAGCCGCTCGATGGACGTATGTCTCCATTCTTCTACGTGTGACAAATTGAATCTGAAACTACCCCCCCCCTCCCACTTTGCATCCCCCCTCCCCTGCATCACCAGTTAGGGGTCACTAATGTGATCCCCATTACCGGCCCCAAATTGCATCAGTTTTTCTAAAGAGCCTTTTTTTTTCCCCTTGTCCCACCCTCTCCGGTTCGATCAGCCCTGGGCAGGGTATTTTTAAGATGGCAGGTGCTGAATTAGGCCAGCGCCCTGTGTGCGGGGGGAGGGGGCAGTGGGTTGTATTTAACCAGATTCTCCACTGGCTTCCTGCTGACTCATTAAGCCTCTCCCTCCAGTACTCATTCCTTCTGGAGAAGGCTCCCCCCCCCCCCGTCCCCCCGCTCTGTCATAACTTTGTGGGCAGTGTGCTTCCAGTCCCAGAGACCGGAGAGTGATCATTAGCACCGGAATAGAGTCGGTGCTTGAAATCATTGGGAAACGTTGCTTTGGCCTTCCGATGGTCCATTTCCGATGCTTATTGGACCTTTTCGTTCTCTCATACCGCGGGATTCTGTGAGATTTTCCTTCTAGGCTTGCTTGGTCTTTCAGTTCCCCTACCCCCCCCCAGTCCCTGACTCCCCCAGCAGCGCGATGTTAATCTTCCAGCGGGTAGTTATTCGGGAGAGTCACACCGGGAAGTCTGGTTTGAGCTGACAGACCACGGTGCCATCGGTCATGGGGCGGGGAAAGTTCGGTGTTCGGTAGAAGCGAGATACATAAGGGGGCTATAATAAGACTTATATGCCGGAGTGAGTCTGAGCGAGTCATGCCGGTTCAGAACCCTGATGCCGCAGGTGACTCATCTCTGGTGAAGTGCTGGTCGTTGTTTTCCGCTGCACTCCTGGAGGGAGGCCTGGATGCATGTCATAAGTGCACCCCCCCCCCCGCGCACTCATTCATGCTCCTGGAAGGCTTGGCTTTGGTCTGGAGATCCTGTGGTCCTCAGATCTGGCTTGTGCCCGGGGGGTGGAGCCCCCAGTATGACTCACCCACTGACCGTGGCACAGCTGGGTGTGGCGGGAATGTGCCATTAGGAAAGTGGACCCATGCCCCCCCGTGCCCCCTCCCCCCCCCCGTTTGGGCTGGAGGCCTTCATCTGTGTAAAAAAGGAGCCGTCTCATGACAGTGATGCACGCCACCCCCACCACAATCAGCACCCTTGAGTGATGGCCCGCGGCAGCCAGAAGATGTTCTGCCAACGCGACACGTACGGAACGCGCACCTGTTCCCCATTTCTCTGCTGCACAGACATCTCAACTCTACCTCCCGTCTCGGGCCAGCGAGGGCCGTCCGTGTTAGAAGGAGGTTAATTAATCCAGCTGTGAGTCGGCCTGTCGCTCTCCTCACCCCAAACTGGATTTTTCTGGCCTGACGGAGGCGCTGGTCCCATCATTGCAGTTTTTGTAGTTTTGTTTTTTTTTTTCTCTTAAATGGTGGATCTGTCCTGCCATTCTTTGGCCTTTCAATTAGTGGCTGAGGTATGGATTGAAGTCCATATTTACAGATTATCTGGGGGGGACCCACGCCCCGGCTCTGGAAATCCGCGTGCCCTTAAGTGCCCAGAGCCAACCCCGCGCGCTAATCCTGTTTGCACTCCTGTGCTGTGTTGTGAATGTAAACAACAAAATGCCCCTGTCCTTCAAACAGTGAGCACCAGAGTTGGAGTCACTCCTGTGGCTATGCCCCCCCGCCTGAGGCTGTACTCTGTTACATCTCCAGTGCTCATGCATTCGCCATCGGGCCGCCCTCAGCTCCCTGCTCTTTCCAGGTCGCTTGAAAGCAAACTTGAAGCTTGATGAAATCCACCTCCTGCTAGGGTGCTAAGCCTGTTATTCCCAGCATGGACCATGGAACTGGGGGGCCGGGAGCCGGGGGGGGGCCTCCCTGCCTTCAGAGCATCATTAAGAATGCAGTGTTGAGCACTGATGAGAGAATTAAAATGACTCAAAACCGATATAACTTTATTAATAATAGTCCGCATAGTTCTGTAGTACAATAGCATTTGTCTGTTTAGGATGACATGCCCCCACTGTCTTGAAATCACCACCCCCCCCCCCCCCCCCCTTGTCTGAATGTGTCCCACAGTCCATGGTTCCCAGCATGGTTGTTGGGTCCCAGAAATCCAGCCTGACACTTGTGGGGGGAGCGGTCCTACACCTCTGTTCTGAAACCCACCACTTTCTCTCGCACCCCCCCCAGGAGACGCAGAAGGCGAAGCAGTTCCTGCCTTTCCTCCAGCGGGCGGGCCGCTCCGAGGCTGTGGTCGAATACGTCTTCAGCGGATCTCGCCTCAAACTCTACATGCCCAAAGAAACGTGCCTGATCACCTTCCTGCTGGCCGGTGAGTGCCGGCTCCCCCCCGGGGGCATCGTGGGATACGTCGGTGGCGCAGTGTGCTTCTGGAATGTTCCGCTTCCCGCATAAGAGTTTAGCTGTAGTTTCTCATTTCCTTGTGAACAGGCATTGATTTTTGCATCATGTTTGTTTTTTTTTTATTATTTTTTAAGATCTAATTTATGAATGTTGTGGGGGGTAACGGACTTGGCTGTACAGATATGCCACAAGCTTATTGGCATTTCAATGCCCCCACCCCCCCACCACTGTAGGAGTGGTTGACTTGAATACCAATTGTGCTTTAATACCATCACCATCAAGGACGCTCCTTTGTGTGTACATTTTGGGCAGCTGTGATGCCCGGTCCGTTCCAATGGGTGAGTGGGGGTGGGTGATGCCGCCAGAAGACTGCTTGTTTTATTTCCCGTTTTTGGTTGCGGTGTTTTTTTTTCCAGCCCGATCATCAGCTTCATCTGCTCCTTGGCTTGGACCTGACGGGGTACGGGGTTGGTATGGCCCTTCTCCAGAGCCTTGTTAGCTGGGAACGCACGGCTAAAGACACGGCGGCTGAACAACTCGGGTTTCTCATGTATATTAGCGCTGCTGCCTCGTGAGGTTTTAAACCGAAGGGATCTGGTTTTATCCAGCACAGATGCCACTGCGGTAAATGGCCTCTCTCTGCCAATTAATATTCTCTGCCTAACGAGGCCGGTTCACCAGGCCTACCGAAGCCTTCTGGTTCTCGGGGCTGGACAGACCCCTTCTGTCAGAACAAGGTCTCCTCCTCGAAGTCACGCCTGCATATTTTGTTTGCTGCTGCCGTTCCCGTATACGCTGCCCAGCCAAAAAAAAAAAAAAAGTCGCCATTTGAATTTATATCAGCAAATACTTAAGAGCCAATGACTGGATTATTATTACAGCTCAGCTACGTTATGCAGCAATAAAGTAAAGTCAGCTGAGTACCTGAATCTACTGAATGGTCAGGTTACACCTCCATCCATCATCAATGGATTTTTTCTTCCCTGTTGGCATGGGCATATTCCAGGACAAGAATGCCAAGATTCATTGGGTTCGAATTGTCAAAGAGTGGTTCAGGGAGCATGAGGAACCATTTTCACGCGTGACTTGGTCACCACAGAGTTGTGACCTTAACCTCATTGAAAGTCTCTGGGATGTGATGGAGGATGAGATGTTGCATAAGCCTTTGGAAACAATGGAATGACAAATGTGCGGCATAATCAAAGCTAAAAAAATTCATTTCTGAAGCCCTTCCAGCGTCTCTGGGCTCCCGGTGCCTCGCTCTTAATTTGGAGTTTCTCAGTCTTCATTGCCGCTAAATTGCCTTCCGTCACCGACCAGCTTAATCACACCGCCAAATACCGCCCCCTCCCCCTCCAAATTCCCTTACAGGACGTGTAATCGTGCGTGTCCCCCCCCCCCACACACACACACCCCCGGAACACCTCCTAATTGATTTAGCTGTATGTTTCATAACTTGCCATTTGGTATGGTTTAATTTTATCCATGGCGTTTCGACGCGGGCGTGTCCTCGTCCTGTCGCTCCGCGGCGTTTGAGCGATGCCGCCGCGTGACATTTTCTCGCCGTCCCGCTAATGGCATTTGCGGCCCGCTTCCCTCAGCCACCAGCATTGTTTTTCCAATTGTCCTGAAATCTTCCATTTATTTGATTATGCTTATTATAAATCGCAGTAAATAAATTATGGCCGTCCTCGGCAGCCTTGATTTTGGATCCGAGCGAAATGTGTCCGCCAGATATACAATTAGGCCCTCGTTTTAATAAACGTTGATTAAAATCAATGTTCTGAGCGCCTGATCTCCAAGTTAACGTGTTAGCGTTTAGCGAGGGGCCCCGCCCCCCAATCGTCCAAAGCTTTTAGTTTTGAGAGCCAGTGCTTTTGAAAGGGAGGATGGAAACCCTCCCCCCACCCCAATCATCAAGGCTAGAGGATGTGTTAAGTGGATCAGGCTTTTAATTTCAATGGGATGTTTTCTTGCTGCTTTGATTAGCCGTTAACGCACACTTTAGTCAAGGCACTTAATCATGCTAAACAGCCGACGTGGTCCTATGTGCTGACCCCCCCCGCCCCCCCCCACCTCCATCCTGAAAAGAGAGAATCCAATTGGGGGGAGAGACTCTTTGGTCCCCCCCACCTCATGGGACAAGGAGGCCTTGCCTTTTATTTTATTATTATTATTTTTTTTGAAACACGCTGGTGAGCGGCTCAGATAATGAAAAGGCCTTGATCCGGGGAGGGTCGGGGGGGGCCCCCGGCACGCTGGCACTGCGCCGCCGTGACTCATTACCGTTGCTATGGAGCGGTGAGTCTCAGACACAATCAGCCAAAGGTTACCGCATTAACCGAGAGGGCGGCCATTTTTAGCAGCCGGAGTGCGTGCCATGGTCAGAAACTGTCCCACGGTTCTTTTGGCTTTTCCGAGAAATATGTACAGAAAAACAAGATGGTTTTACTTGGCTATGAAGCAGGTCTCCGCTCTGCACCCCCGTCTTTTGCACCCCCGTCTTTTGCACCCCCGTCTTTTGCACCCCCGTCTTTTACACCCGAAAGCAGTGCAGAGGGCGGGGCTTCTTCCCTAACTTGCTGTCCTACTCCGGTCCCTCACTCCAGACACCTAGCACAGGGCAACATAATTAAACCATTTTGAACCAGTTTTCCACAGCAACCATCCTACCTGTCAATTAGCCTTAACCTGCCATCCCTACCATGGCCATTACCCCGCAAGAGGCGAAGACTCCGGGTTCGAAACGGGCCAGTATCGCAGTATCGTCTTTGCGAGGTGTGATTTGTAGTAAAATCTCTACCTGCGTTTGAAAATCCTTGCAGCCTTACTGGACCCTTAACTTTGGTAAATGGAAACGCTGTTATTTCCAGCATCAAACGAATTCTGGTGCTAGTTGTTGGGTAATTGGAGGGGTGGGGCTGCATTAGTTTAGTTATGGATACACAGATTACGGATTTTCACCTCTTTGCTGTATCCTTAACTGTAGATGTGAAAATAGTCGTTAGTGCTGTGCCCCATGCTGAGTGCGGCGGCCGCTTTGATCCCATTCAAGATGGATGTAAGCTGACATCTTCGTGAAAGTTGGGATGGTCATTTCTCCTCCTGTGCAGAGCCTCTCGACCGCTGAGCCGGGTGCTGTGTCGACTTTATAAGACTGCAGAAGTCGTGCCCTTTGTTACTGTGGGTGCCGAGAGCAGCACAGACGTTAGACCTGCCTGAGGCTCGGTGTGTTACGTAGTTCCATGATCTTGGTACCTTCGTCCTGTTGCTCTCGTGGTTAAGGTAGCCATCTTTGGTGTGGGAAAGCAGTACTCAAGTCTCTCTCTGCACTATTTGTATCAGACACTCAACACCTTATTTGGAGGAAAAAAATAGCTAGATTTTAATTTTAATTTACCGTATACTGGAAACTCCATAGTTCCTTGACAGTGTCTTGTTAAATGTTTGTTTCTTCTTGTTTGTCTTGTTTCACGGATGGCCGTGCCTTAATGAGTGGTGAGAGATCCTCCGACTGCGGACGCCTTGCTGTCAGATTTCACACAATACGCACAGAATGCACCTACCAAGGAATCTTAGCCCCGCAGTGTGCAGTTTAAATGTGTTGGCTTATAATTTTCTGGATTTTTTTTTTTGGACTTTTTTCTGAATTTTTCTGAATACCTCTGTAGCCTCTGTTTGTCTGGTGTAGCGTCTAGAGGGGTTTATATGTAAGATGTACATGTCTGTTAGCGTCACCACGCTAAGGTCACGAGTCTGCATACCCGCAGCTGTCATATTTTACGTGTTTTCAGTTTATCGCTTGCTTGCCTTTCTGTCCCACCTCCCTTCTGAAAAGCGGGCAGGAAAGATTTCTCTTTTGACAAACGCTTGCATTTTTATAACCATAAAGTCGATATTTACGGCCTAACAGAAGCTCTGGTTGATGTGGAGCTGGTTGATCTCAAGGTGCCAATTTCGCCTAACACTTGCTGGAGAAGTAGATATTGAAGGCTGCCTTCCTACTGTCTGAATGGAAATTCGGCCGGTTCTTCTGCAAAGCGAGATGAATCCATACAGAAATCCATACCGCCGTGGCCGCGGTTGATTCATGCGGCCTTGCGTTTGCACTTGCAGCAGTAGTCGTCATCGCGAGTCAGCCACCATGTTCTCAAGGTTGGGTTGCCCTCTTGAATTTTAATGTATTTTGTTTTAACCTGTTTTGCAAGTGAAAGATGGAGCGGCAGAACCAAAAACCTCGTTGCTGGGGAATGTGGCATTTTGTGGCTGCTGATCGACGCCGGCTAATGACAGGATCTGCCAGAGGGTTCATCCGCTTTGTTCTTTGTGCCGCAGTCGCGCTCCTTCAAGGGACATTTTGGGTTTGGCTCAGGGCCAGTAGCAGATGCATTATTGCGGCATCAAAAATCATACATCTTGCATGTTTGAAGGTTATTGGCAACATAAAAGATGCCTTCGGATTCTCGTCCTTGAACAAATGACGATCTTTTCTTCTGAGGTAACTTCAGTAGCTATTAAATTGCAAATAGCTTTTTTTCTCGAGTATTTGACGTAGGCACTGCAACGCTACTGAAAACAAAAAAGCATAGTTAAGGGGTGCCTCTCATAGTTTGTATAGCCAGAGATATTGCTTGATTTTTTTTTTTTTTCTGAAGAAGGGTTTTTTCTGAAATAATACCCAGGTCATTGGGATATGAGGCACCGTGCCCTCTTTTCAGACGTCTTCGTTTGAAAGCCCGCTGACATTCTGGGAGAGATACTTATCTCCCCTCTCCAGGAGAGGAAGTAGAAGTCTGGATATTCCCAGTAGATGAGGATTAAGGTCTCGAGCTGCGGTATGGATTAGTTACCGGAATGGGGTAGTGGTGCCCACATTAACTTAGCGGCACATGCTAGAACTTCAGACCATAACAGGCTAGGAGAAGAAATGGCCTGGTTCTTTCCTTTTATGCGAGCTTCTTAGCAGAA